AAATAAGCTTTACTTTGCACATTGTAGTTCTTTTCACGCTGCATCTCCTGGTATATTTTGTTTTTCTAAAACAACTTATTAAGTGATGCAAAAATGAAATGGAAAAAGGGCGTTTTTTTTTTGTCCGAGGGAGAATTGTTCGGTTTGTTCACGTGACCCAATAACCATTCCACAAACAACACAACCTTTTCCTAATGTTAATAAAGCGACATCAGAATTTTCCGGTTTAAGGGAAGTACCTAAAAATCCAATACAAGTAATTATTCCACCCATTTTAATTTAATTTAATGATTTTTCAATTGTTGTAGATCCACCATTTTCAAGAATAATATCAACACCTTCTCAATTTCTTATTTTTAATACTTTTTCATCCTAATTCGGTTCTTTTTTCTTATTAATTTTATAATCAACACCATATTTATCTTTAAATTGTTTTAATTTCTCATCATCATCAGATATTATTATTCTTGTACAACCAGCAGCTTTAACTAACATTAAACCAGTTAATGAAACACTACCTGTACCTTGGAATAAAACAGTTTGACCAGATAAAAGTTGATTATTTCCAAGTAATGCATTCCATGTTTTTGTACCTGTACGTAGAAGTGAGGCTGTTTGTTCATATGATAAATGATTAGGAATTTTAATTAAATCAGTATATAATAAAGCTTTATATTGAGTCAACATTCCATCAACTGGTCCATCTAAACTATATGACCAACTTCGACTTGGACCATATAAATGAGTTGGATCAATATTTGATATAACACGATCACCTTTTTTAAATCGAATAACTTTATCACCAACTTTAATTATTTCATCATCACCTACACATTGAAAAAACAAAACATTTCCAAACTTTATATTTGACCAAAAAAATCTATTTAGATGGATATTTATTATTAATAATAAGTAAATCACAATAATTAAGTGAAATAGCATAAATTTTAATTAAAACTTCATGTTGATTTATACTTGGAATATCTTCTTGAAAATCTTTAAGATAATCAATATCTTCACGTTCACTTATTCGATAAGCAGTTTCTTTTTTTCATGACATTATTTTATTTTAAACTCTTCAATCAATATTCAACATACCTATCATTCACAACAACTATTTTCAATTTATGTCAAATGTACTTTCGAAGATGACATATGCACTTTATTAAAGCATCAATTTTTTTCATTTATTTAAATATATTAAATTAGATTCTATATTCAATCATACAGACTTTTTTTAAATAAAATATCACTTTAATACAAATATTGGCGCTACACTACATTTATGTTTTAACACGAATAAGACAAATATTAATAAAGAAGAATTCAAACATGAAGTATTAAGAAAATCAACTGGAACATAAAATTTTATTAGAATGTTTCGAATTAATATGATTTATGATCTTTAAATCACATAATGTGCCTTTACCAATAAATAAGTCAACATTTATTTTATGATTCATAAATATGTTATAAGCCACTCGTTTTTTTTTATTTAATTCGCACTTCTCGTCCAGTTTTTTTTATTCTTCGACGTCATTAGGTTTTCTTTCTTTGTAAAATAATAAGCACCATTCATTTATCACATACACATTTCTTTCTTATGTCAACAAAATCAATCGTTATTCACTGATTAACAAATACGAATAAAATCACTGAGAAATTCTCTCTGGAGAATTAATTCGAAAAAAAGCCAAATCATTCTGTTAAAATACACAAGATAAACGAGAATAATAATAAAATATCTTTTCTCTATCTGTTCGCATGAATATCAATTAAGATTTAATTGTTCAATTAATTGACATTGAAGATGAATAAAATATCATTGTGAGTATAAGAACTTTTTTTCTTAAAATCAATCATTTACTAATTAGTTGAATTATATCGAACATTTTTAGTATCTTACGGTCAATAATTAAAAATTGACAGATTCTAATGAATGCATTGACTAGATTCTATTTAAAGGAATTATTTATAGAGTCTAGCACTAATCATTGTTAATAAATAAATCGATAGAACTTTACTATATCTAGTGATGAAATAGCCGATGATATATGATCCGCCTTTTCTAATCTATATACCATAGAAGATTTTCTTGAGCCAAAAACGGATCGCTTGCGAAAAATGATGGACTTCGTTAATCTTCTCTTTTGTAAAATTGAATATAAATGATTAAGAAGCATTTGAAAATAATTTCCTTAACTAATTGTTTCGTCATTATAAAAATAGTTCGAAGATTTTGTTTAATTGACAGTCTATATGAAAGGTGTACTTTTTCATGAATTTGTTGTAACATCGAAAGGAACTAATGGATTTTTTTTCGGATTATAAACAGTAATTATGTTTATTGGCTATTCTAATAACTTGAAAGTAAACTTCATCTGAAAAAAATCTCAATCCATTATCAATCATCATCATCTACAATCATAGCTACTGTAAGTTCAGATATTGTAGCACGTTAATCTTACTTTCCATCATACAATTATTATATTAAATGGATTTTTTACGACTTCTACTTCAGAAAATGAGCCATTGTACGATGAATAATAGATTTTTGATAATTTCCCTTCTTTGAAAAAAGTCAAATGCTATTTGATAGGAAATGAAATTGCTAAAATTTTAGCAATTTCATTTATCTTTTTCATCGTTTCAGAAGCTGATTCTCTAACCGATCGCGATATTTTAATAAACCTTTTTCAAGAAATTTGTTAGAAATTTCCTTAATCGTAAGCATCGTAGGAACGTCGAGCATAGTTTCTTGTTAGAAGTATGTTTCGAGTGAAGAGATTTTTAAACATTTAGTGAAGGTGTAGGTATGAGGTGTGGGTGTGGGTGCGAGTCTTCATTAAATCCACATCCATACACCCACACTCATACCTACGCTCACATATCCACACCCTCGTCGGAATCAATTATTATTAATCTAATTGAACCGAAAATACTTACTTCAATTCTGAAAAATTTAGCTTGTCTACCTTGTCTTTTCTCATTAACAATTGACACATGGAAAGTTTTGGAACATTCAAATGATATTTATCGATTAATATTCGCTTTATCAATGTTAAAGTATAATAATTCATCTTACATCTCAAAGACAGTTCAATCACATTTCCAATAGCTAATGATCAACAATTTGGTCCTATTGAATCTCTTATTATTGAGCATTCTTGTACTTTAAATGATCTTATCTCTTTAATATCTTATACACCACAACTTCATCATTTAGCTGTTTATAAACCTGACAAAAATGATCCAAATGCTCAAATTTTCTTGTTAATAAACTTATCTAATGTAAAATCAATTCATTTGGATATGTATCAAATAACAGTTAATGAATTAGAAATATTCTTAACCAAAATATCTTCAAATTTAAAAATCTTATCAATTAATTGTTCAAATGATATAACATTTCTTGATGATCATCGATGGAAAAGTTTAGTTTCACATAATTTTCTTCAATTAGAAAAATTCTATTTTATAACATTTTTATCATAATTAACTAATTCCTTACGAAACCAATTGGTTACGATTTCAATGGGGTGTGTGCATTGGTGCAGGTGGAATGGAGGGCCGCATTCACATGTACGCTGACATCCATGCTCTATATCCACATCCACACTCACACATCTACACTCCTATCCTCGAATACTTGTTGTCTAATGCCAGTTAAATGATATGGTAACGACATCAAAATTGAGACCAATACCGATTTTAATTAGAAATTGACTGGTCTACTATTACAGATCGGTATGGTTGAATGGTTGAGATGTTTGACACATATTCATAAGGTACCGTGCTCGAACATCGATTCAATCAGTCATAAAATGATCTTGGACAAGTCACTAGTGGCTCCTTTGTCTCGGGTCACCCATTCGATAGCAAACTCACTACGTAGTTGGCATACACTAAAGCTCTTATGACCAGTATGTGGATATAGAGCATGGATGCCAGCGTACATGTGGATGTG